CCGTGCGATGCTCATGCGGGACTGCGCTTCCGCACGCAATAGCGGGAGAAGCTCGGTCGACTTGACCACCCGCTTAGTCGCAGGATTAGTGGCATTGTAGACATGAATGGAAGACTCGTATGCCTGAACGATAGACATGTACGAGGCTGGTACAGAGGCGATAACGGCGTCCGTGAAAGTCTTATCCTCGATGGTAATTCCGGCCTCCGCGATCTCCTCTTTGAGCGCGAGAAGACGATCCAGATGCTCCTGCATCTTCTTCTCGTTATCGCAATGCAACGAGAACAGGCGCTTCTGGGCGCTTGCCTCGGACACGGCAGTGGTCTGCCCGAAGCGGGTCTTCATAGCATTGATGATGTCGTTGGGAACCTTCGCAGTGCCCGAGATGTTCATGAAGATGGAATCGGGCAGCTTACCCGCAATGGCTGCCAGCAACGCGTTCACTTCTTCCTCCTTGTCGGACGGAATGGGTGTTGCAGTTAACAGCGCTTTGCACGCGCATCCGAGTGCGGCAAAGTTGACGCGCTGAACCCATGTGCGGTAGTTTGTGCCGTCTGCCTTGAGCGTAGGCACAGATCCAAACGCCTTGTGGATCGTGTCAGCCACACTTGGCATAGTGGACCAGGAGACAGGTGGATTGCCGGAAGGTGGGGTGTTTGGGGGGACAACAGTCGAGGAAGAGGGGGTGTTACCACAATTGGCAATGAGCGTGAGTTGCGACTGATCAACGTGAGCGGCCCAAGGTTCGTCACACTGGCCAAGAGGACGATTTTCTCGATTAGCACAAGGTTGATCTTCGCAGGGAACCCAGAAAGTTCCGTCAGACGCGTCCGGATTGTACCAGCGATCAAGAACGTCGTCCTTGTTGAATACGTGCGAAGTGTCTTTACAGGGGCGTTGTGGACTAGCACGACGCGGCGACATACACCGGTAACCAAAATGAGAGACGAGGGAAGATCGAGAGTTGACAACGACAAAGTCAAAGCCTCTTGGGGCTCATAACCTCTAGAAACTCTTCGCAGTGAGTTTCTCACACGCAGGGCCCGGCTTCGACTGTCGGGCGCGCTTGAGGCTAGCAGAACGGACGCTCAGTCCGTAGCTCAGAAGAAGGGAAGTCTCTGAGATGTATTTACCTAGCAGAACGGACGCTCAGTCCGTACTGCAATACAGTCAGTACCCTACAGTGTCCATAATGAGAGGATATACACACGCTCAGAAGAAGGGAAGTCTCTGAGCGTGCACGATAGGGAAAAGCAAGTAAATAAGGAAAGCGGCAGGTGCCTTAGCAACTGGTGAGTCAGGAACGAA